TATAGTAGATTCGTATCGGTCATTCGAACAATCAATGCACAGTTGATTTGGTTCCGAAATTATGAAAGGTGTCTTCACAATTTTTATCTAAAATTGTGGAAAAGTCAACTTTATCACCCTATATAATCGTAACTGTTGATTTTAGAGCGTTGGTGCAATGGAGACATTTGATCAGCACCACGAGTTCTACAATATATAAAAAATACGAGTAAATTCACCGAAAGCCAATTTCCCATTGCTGCGGTGCGGGGTCCTTTCTGTGGAAGTGAACTTACTGCCTCTGTAAGCTCTCTACTGTGGTCATATCTATAATTCTTCCAACTTTGATAGTCAATATCTTCCGTTAGCGAAAAGCTATCATGTTGCGGTTTTCGTTGGTCTGTTGAGATTTAGTTTCTCTATAATATAGTGTAATGATATGCATACCATTAGATTTATTGTACAGGGTCCGGCATTGAAACTTTCTTTTTTTAAAGGTAAAAAATAAAAGTATAAATTGTACATTTTATTTTTCTTTGTTATTAGAATTAAGCATCAACATGGGAAGTTTCGAATCAAGATGTCTTAAAAAGCATATTTGACAAGTGTCTGCCGTTGCTGTCGATGCATTCTTGTAGCCGATTCCTGAAGTTTATGTGGACTCTTCCGAGCATTGCAACCAGTATATTGGCTATCTCGTGTCGAATATTGTTTTTCAATTCTTCCACAATTGCAGGACGGTTGTTATAAACCTTAGATTTGATGTAGCCCCATAGAAAAAAATCTGGCGAGCGTGCGGGCCACGGTATGTCACCCCTGTTGGAGAAGAACGTTTCTACTGCAAACGCGCGTTGCTCTCTCGTCCAAAACGGTCCAAAGCATTTTAACGACTGATGATGGTTCGGAGTAGTTCGGAGTAGATCGGACGGTTGAGAAATAAATTTCCCCACCAACGTTCCTCGTTAAGAGCACTGCCGCGCCCCAATTATCTCCAGTAGCGCCCTAACGTCTCATTGAAAAGAGAAAGTTTCAGTGCCGGACCCTGTATCTCAAACTTGTATCATTATCCGTTGCTGATATATGGCCGACAGCCGTTCGTAGTTGTTCACCCTGTACATGTCAGATTATCCTACAAGGCTGCAACAGAAATAGGGAGCACTAAAATATACACGCCGAGCAAATAGTAATTTTCCTAACAAGTGCGGAAAGTAGTAGTAACAATAGTGATATATTCTATATCTTCTAATAAGTAGTGATATACAGGGTGTTTCGAAATTCGACCGACAACGCTTGACAGGTTATAGTCCTCGTTATTTCATAATCACTGAGATAGGAACATTCGGTCTTCAAGTGTTCAGTTCTTGAGATACAGGGCGTTGAAGTTAAGAAATTTAAATAGGTTTTTCGCGATATCTCAAGAAAAATTGAATATAATGTATTCAAATTCGGTATATGGTTTCTTGTTTCAATGAATAATTTTTTGACCAGAAAGACATTCCGAGAATTTTACCCAGAGGTGCGCTACAGAGGGTTGTGATAACTTTTCCTCCCATATTTTCTACGCCACTGATGAAATTTCGATTATTCCCAATTTCTCGAATTGATTGTTCAATTTTGTTGAAAAACTGCATCATCTTCAACTGAGCTGAAATAAACAGTTATCGAGATATTTGACCCAAAATAGACGTTTGCATAGTAATTTTTCATCTTCTTCAGTAGTAGAAGATTACAAAATTTTTTGTTTTCTCTTTATGCGTGGAATGGCTATTTCTGTTCAGCTACAGAATGAGATCTGAATAGTATCTAATCTATTCCACGCCAGAAAAATATTTTTGCAATTTTCTACTACTGAAAAAGATGAAATATTACTATGCAATCTTCTATTTTGGGTCGAATATCTCGAAAACTGTTCATTTCAGCACAGTTGAAGGTGATGCATTTTTTGAACAAAATTGAACAACGAATTCGAGGAATTATAAATGATTGAAATTGAATCAGTGGCGTAGAAAACATGGGAGGAAAAGTGGCCACACCCCCCTGTATTGCCCCACTGGATGAAATTTCCGGAATGGCTTCCTGGTCAAAAAATGACCCATTCAAAGATGAAACCATACACCGAAGTTGAATGCATTATAATCAATTTTTCTTGAGATATTGCGAAACAACAATTTTTATTTCTTTACTTCAACGCCCTGTACCTCGAGAACTGAACACTTGAAGACCATATGTCCCTACCTCAGTGATTATGAAATCTCGAGAGCTATCACCTGTCAAGCGTTGTCGGTCGAATTTCGCAACACCCTGTATATATATTGTGTGTACCGTTTGAAGCACTATGTAGGTAAACTTATTGCGGAAGCCAGCATGCCCATGGTGTTTGGCCTCTAGTTTTCAGACATTTCTAGGAAGTGAGCCAAAAATACTTCCTCCTTATTTGGTGTTTTCACTTTTTTACTATTGCACCATTCAATAAATCCCGTGTAGTGCTTCTCATACCTTTGGCAATAACTCATCAGTATCGCATCTGTAGCTGGAAGTTTTTTTATCGCAATTTCACTGAATCGAAAATGACAGTAACGCTCTGTCTGTCTCTCTGAGAATTATACTAACTAATTTGTATTTTGATTGACATGACAACAATTGGTTCCCACATCAGATCAGTTAAAGGCTATAGGGGGATTTATATGTACAGTGTCATTCATAAAGTCGGCATCATATGGGAAAAACTTTTATTATCGACTTATTTTGGAATTCGAGTTGGACGTTAAGTTTTGCTTCAAAAAAGATGAGAAATGGCCTACTCAATCGGGGTCACGTGACTTTCGCTACATGTCAAAAGTGAAATTTTTTCAAATTAATCGCTGAAAGTAGGTTTATTTGTTCGAATATCGAAAAAGTTTACTTGAAAAATTTGTTTCTATTTCAATTTTAAACATGCTTCTCGAATTCGATCTTTCTATTGCAACTTTTAGATTTTGATTTTTTTTTTATTTTTCGAAATTTCTGTAATATTTGAAGAATTGTTAATTCTACGAAACTACTTCATACCAGTAGCTTCTTCATGCTACTTACTTTCAATTACTCATTATCACTGATTGTGGACAGAAATATGATTTTCTTCAGAAAATGATAATACCCGCTTCCAAATTCTGTTATGTTTGATGCAAAGTTGATACATATATCGTCAAGCATTTAGAAACGAAATTCATTTAAAATGATCTTTTCAGTACTGAACAAATAAATTTAAATGAATTTCGTTTCTAAATGCTTGACTCAAATTAACATAACAGAATTTTGATGTTATGTTTGGATCAAACATAACAGAATTTTGAAGAGATTATATCATTTTCTGAAGAAAATCATATTTTTGTCGATAATTAGTGATAATTAGTAATTGAAAATTAGTAACATGATGAAGCTACTGGTATGAAGTAGTTTTATCGAATTTACAATTTTTTTAATAGGTATTACAGAAATTTCGAAAATTTTTAAAAAATATCGAAATCTAAAAAATGTAATAGAAAGATAAAATCTGAGTCACATATGTAAAATTCAAATAGAAACAACTTATTCAAGTAAACTTTTTCGATATTCGAACAAATAAGCCTACTTTCAGCGATTAATTTGAAAAAATGTCACTTTTGACATGTAGCGAAAGTCACGTGACCCCGATTGAATAGGTCATTTTTCTTCTTTTTTGAAGCAAAACTTGACGTCCAAATCGAATTTCAAAATAAGTCATTAATAAAAGTTTTTCCCATATGATGCCGACTCTATGAATGACACTGTATATCAATCAATTATTATTTTTCAATATTGCTTAATTTTTACAATAAATAGTGCAATTTGATGGATGATGTACAAACTTACTAAATACTGCAAGGAAAAAACATAAAATGTTCATATTGTGTTACCCCATCACTCATATTTTGCGAGAATATAATATAAATGGTTTTCCCGCACTACTGCGGGAGAATGACACTTCCCAAACTAAATTGCGTGCGGGAACAGGGTGAATCACGCACGCTTGTAGAAAAAAATATTTTCCAATAGGGAAACCGTGTGCATTCTGTGCATGGGCATTTAGTATTGATACTTTACTGTGCTACTTTTCCCTTGCCCTGCTGACCTGCTATAAACATACTTGTATGTAACATAGTTAAATAAACTCTATCTATCTATTTAAACTAAGAGAACGGCGACGTTGCCATACGCTTCGTATCGAGCAAGCTCCTCCTTCGAGCAAGTTCATTGTTCGGCACGAATATAATATATTGCATCCATGGTTTACAAGTTATGGTAACGTCGAACAACGGAACAGGAAAGTTGCAAACAAAAAAAGTTCAAGTGAAAAAATCTATTCAAAGCAAAATAGCACTAGTTGTCTACAAGAGTCATTAATCAACTCTCTTAACTTAAATGGTTGATTCATTCCGACAAGAATCTTTCTCAGCGTTTTTTTTTAACGATCTAACGGCAGGTCTCTGATAACTGTGGGAAGAGAATTGAAAAGAGATATTCCTATGGATTTGCTCTTTTCTAATCTCCTTCTGTGAGGTACAATGTTATGCTTATATCTGGTATTATGATCATGAATGCCTGAGTGTGTGGTGAATGTATTCAATTTTTTTAACATGTATGAGATTTTCATAGACAATTTGTGGAGTAATCGAGTGGGTTGGGCAACGACGCTTGCTACACGGTTTCTCTATAGTAAAGTTATTTTTGCCAAACGAGTATATTTTTGTACTTATTGGAGATTGATTAATATTCAACTATGATTGATTGTTTTTAAAAGGGATTCAACAATTTCAGTTTCTTCATCATGTGTCTATTTTTTTTTCAGGATGTTATAAAATATGGGATAGTCCAAAAAAACCAAAATGAAAATTGAAGGGTGCAAGACCTATTCTTGTCTATTTGATATTTATGCATTTCAAACAATATATCTTTTTATTTTTGAAGAGTTTTGGGCATACAGTCCAACTTAAGATAATGGAAATATGTTAAACTCAGAATTTAATTTAATAAAAACTGATATTTATTCAACCGAAGAACTAGTACCATAAATAACAGTAAAAGGTTACTAATTTACTTATATCTAAAAATCAATATATTAAATAGCGAAGTATAAAAAAACAAAGTAAAAAAAAGTACATAAGAGCAAAAGACAAAAAAATGATCAAAAGTCATCGAAATTGTTAGGAGACTAAAACAAGTTAAATATAAGCTATCACATACTGGGTCTGGGAAAATTGTACACCTCATCATAATATTAACCAGCTTGATATTATTGTGGTCACAACTATGTGCACTAAAACGATTAAGAGAGGACAAAAATACTCTAATATCATACTTGATGACGAAATTCGGAACCATATCAATCTGTAGGGTAATTGGGTTTCTTTCCAGCATCAATATCTTCGAAAACTTGATTCCACATTTTCAACCTCTGCGAAAATTGTTCCAATTTCCCGGATAGATTTGGCTGAGAAACCACATCACCATTTTTTTCTGAAGAATGGACAGTTGCTTTCGCTGAAATTAAATACGATAAAAATGGTACCATCGATTATAATTTCAACGTTCAACAAATTATCTCAAGCTAATGAATGGGGGCTAACATTTTCAGTCTCACCAGTGGGCGTTATTAAAACTTGAGTTCACTGTCAGTCAAAAATCCCAAAATTTTGCCGGATAGCCCTAAAGGCTGTGACCCGTTTTATCGAAAATATTCACAAAAAATGATGTAGAACTAGTTCGAAGTACTTCATTGATATACTTTTTCGTTTGCTCTGAGAGGCATAGTTGAGATATTGGCTGTATGAAAAGATTTCGTGCACCCTGTATACTTATTTTAGAAAGCTACTTTAATCAAGTTTCAGGAAAACGTGTTCCACATAATATATGCGAGTTTTACGATGTGCGCATGCTAACCATTAGATTATTTTAGATGCCAGGTTTTGGAAGTCATTTGTCTACCTAATTCAAAGTTTACTGTAATGAGACAGTTATGATTATGGAAGGAACTCATTTTTTGACTCAATCGAGACCTTCTATAGATAATCGGGTCGATTCTTTGCAAATAGCAGTATGGTTGTAGATATTGCTATCACAGCTAGATTTGAAAAAGTGGAATTCTGTGTTCTTGATATTTCTCTCAACATTCAAAACATTAAAAATGGCAATGAATCCTTCGTTTTCCAAATAATTTCCTTCATGTTTTGGATAATTTATAAAATAAATGATTATACACATACACATACACATCTTTCATTCTTTATTTTGACTGTATGTATTGTATTTACACCTATCTGTTTTATATTTAATATTATATGACCAAATTTATATTTATATTTTATAACTTACTTTGTCAATAAGAATTTTCTTGGACAATAAAGTATATATCTATCTATCTATCTATAGTTTGATTGCTTGTACCTACCTACTCGAAACCTTTCCTTGAAATTACAATTTTTAGATGAATTATGAGATTACAATTTCGAATCCCCATCAATCAGCTGGTAACTGAACCAATAGAATAGATAGTTCCTTTTCACATGGCAACAAACTGACTACAGAACTATGATTGGTGAAGACCTAAATATATTAATTCAGCACTCTCATAGCAACAAATTTGCTAGCACAATATATTAAATTCCCCAGAAGTGAAGAAATAAGAAATGCTAAAACAAAGATTAGTTTCATAGGGCATGCTTTTTAATCAACTTATTCAAAAATCTTGTTTTGTTTTAAATCCTATAAAAAATATATTCTCTGTCTCTCAAAATCCATAATAAAAAATCTGGGGCCGTATTTGAAAAAACAAAGTTGATGATGGCAGCTCAAAGATGAAACGTCGGATGAAAATCTGATAACATCATCTTGTAGAACAGAAAAAGTAGCAATGAGAATGCCTAATTTGTTTTGTTACATCTATTCATATTAAGTCATGAAAAAACAAAATCGTGAATATTCGATTTCCAAAAATCTTTAGAAAGATACGGACTATCTTAACCAGACATTTTGTTAAGCATAAAATTGCGCAACTTTGCCATCACTCAACCGACCTTGTATATTTTACGGTTTACTTACGAGATCCCAATGGCTCGAATTCCAGCCACCCTGTGCATAATGACCAATTACGTTGATGTTAATTTGAAAATTTCATATTTGAAGTATGCGATAAAATTTGAGAGAAAGAATAACATTTGAAAGAATTACTAAAAGTAACCCTGATTGGCGATGAATCAAAATGCTCTCATAGTTCGTCAAAAATGATCAAAGTGCTTCGTCTATTAGCTATTTTATTAGGATGCTTGACGGAAACTTGATCAATGCCGTTACAGTGTCGCAATGGATTTTAGGAAAAATGTCTCCTGCGCTGCCATTTTGAAAACAAATGTGCACTCGTGATAATGATTTTTTTTCTCTATCGGATGGAGTAAAAATATCTGCAGGGTCCCATTAAAAATTCTTGACCTAGATCAATTTCCGGTAAACCGGAAGAGATTTTCAGTTGTTTTTTCATGGAAAATATGGGTATTGGGAAACTATATCTTCTATCTAAATGTGAAAAGCCTAACATGAAAAACAACTGAATGACGCCCTGTTCAATGATACACAGCAGAAACAGGAAGATTCCATGGCATGATTATCTAGCATTCATATTATACATTACACAGTTCGTCTTTTTTTGGATTAAAAAAATTCTATATGATTTCCGACTATCACCCGATATGGCAATTCCAATGCATTTTTTAAATAATGAAAAGATGAATATTAATTGGCATAGTACAATATTGTTATGATCATAATATATAACAATATTGCTATGAAGTTCTGTATTCTGTTTGCAGAGTAACTGCAAGATTGGTTATGAGTTCAAGTGATAGCAATATTGTTGAAAAATTGAGAATTTTTGAGATGACAACACTGTTTTCAACTCATTTCTTAAGTGTTAGGTATCGATTTTGCCATTTTTTCATGAAGAAGAAGAGTTCATGATTATCTAACCTCTCAAATTAGTCAGTCCTGCATTGACATTTTACAAAATTATATTGTTCAAATCGAAAGATTTTGTATTTGCTGAATCTGGTCGTCGTTGTGCGACTGGTGCAAGTAATCAATCATGTCCCCGAAATGAGAAATCAACCTAAAAGCCGGATGAAAATGATCGTGATTTTTTTTCGAATATTCTAGCAAAGTAGCTTGATAAACTATCCATCAGGCAACTGAAATGGTTTTCTAGTTTCTCTGACATGCCGAAATTGTAGTCTCATATTCCCTCTACAAATTGGAACTTCAAGAAAAGGTTTTCAAGTAGTTGGTCACAGTAGTGAACCTATCCTATATGTTTGTAACCACCATTCTAAGTTTTTCAATAATTCTTCTACAAATTGAAACTTTGAGGAAAGGTCTTCTAGTAGTCAGTGACACAAGTGAACTCACATATGTTTTTAATCCACTATTTTCTGAATTTTCATACACTTGGAAGAATTTGTAGTGCAAAAACAAAGAATCCACTACCTTGTTATAAGATAGCAAGCACAAAATTGCTGTTGCCGGGATAGCAAGAAAGCTGACCAGATGGCATTGAAATTGACAGATCATATTGCCAAAAATCGATGATTAGAATTCCACTTTTTCGATTCTTGCTATGATAGCAATATCTTCTCTACAACCATATTGCTATTTGCAAACAGAATCGACCCGATTGTCTATATGACATTTCCAGAACAATATCCCATACAAAATGTTCATGAAAATAATTATAAGTTCATTTTCAGTTTATACCAAATCCATAAGAACTTTTATTCTTAAAATAAGACCTTCTATCGATTATCGAACATCTGTTACTATAAAGTGGACCAATTTGTATAAAGCAATTAAATAGGCGAGTGGGCTATTTTTTTTATTTCTTCAATAGAATCATCACTCAAATACCTTTCAATTTTACAGTTTTCAAGAATTTTTCGGTCGATTTTTAGGTGCTAAAATCATTAATAAAGCTACGGTAATTTTCAAACGGCTAGAAATTTACCGCCAATAAAAACTGACGCCACGGTTTCGTAAGTAGGGGCAGACCATAGCACAGTTGCCATGTTTCTTTATGATTTGTGGCTTATGCCTTATAATAATTTTTTGTGAATAATAATTATATTAATTCACACTAGAGGACATTTGAATCGGTGAACGTGACAACCCCGCGCCCTACTTGCTTGAGAAGCCCTAATGTTATTATGTTTACTTTTGTAAGCCTGTGGTTGTCGATGTGTTGACCCTTCGCTCAAATGAACAATCTATTCACTTACCAACTATTGTGGTTCTCGCGTTATTTCTAGAGTCCTCTATCTCCTTCAATCCATTTTTTATATGATCTTGAAAGATCTTGCTCGAATTGGCTAAGAAGGGCTCTATGTCGGCTTCTGGATGTTGTTGCATGAAATCGTACAACAGAGTGAATCCTTCTTTACTTTCGTCTTTGCTGCCGCCGATTTTTTGAAAGATATCAGTCAACATCTTGTGGTTTGCTCTCGAAAGAGATCTGCGCTGAGATTCTTGTTTCGATGGTATGGTTGGAATTTCTGTGATTTTCAGACTCTATAAGAGATGTGTTATTAGTAGAGGTGCCCGCGAGAGTCTCGTTTTCGAGAATCTCGCATGGTCTCGTCTCGTTTTCGAGACAAGACTCGGACAAGACGAGATGAGACTTTTATTGGTCTCATCTCGAGTCTCGTGCAAGACTTCTCGTGTCTCGTGCGAGAGTCTCGCAGGTCAAAATTTCTGCGTGCCGACAGCAGACTTGAGAATTTCATTCATAATACAACATATTTAGAAGGAATTCAGATCAGCACAGATAGACAAAATATTGCATTCATAAATACTCAAGAATACCGGTTACTTCAGTCCCGGAGGAAAGATTATTCTCACATAAGAACACATCTGAATCGCCCTAATAATGAATCTGCACGATTTTGTTATGTCTTAACGACTTGGTGAAAAACAAAAACATTTACGATCGTGAAGGCTGATCTGACTGATAAAGGATTTTTTTCTTAGATACCTATTTCTTGAATAAGTGAAATATTGTTGGATTGAAGTTTTTCTTTGTTTATTTGTTTAGAATACGTGTTACTTTTCATTTTATTTCTATAAATTTCGAATATATAATGCAATGTTTTTTTTCTTGTCTAGATGTTATGATCTAGATATGTACCTATTAGGTACTTACTTTTCCAACTTCTACATTATACATGAAAAGTAGGTAAAGGTAAATATCCCGTACTAGACTGGAACAAGATTATGCATGACGAAATTGCGATACTTTTGCGAGACTCTCGTACGAGACGCGAGACAAGACGACTCTAGGCTGCGAGACGAGACTCGAGACAAGTCTTTATATTTCATCGGCGAGACGAGACGAGACTTCATGAATGTCTCGTCTCGTTGGTCTCGTGTGAATCACTAGTTATTAGGAACAAATACAATTTTTTTATTTCCAACATGGAAGGATGCGACCGCCATTAACAATGATAATTTCCTTGCGAGATCCTCGACCGTTTTTTTTTATGGTAAGCAGGTATATCTCACTAGGAATAATGATCACAGTTAGAATACTAATTATGTAGACATTTTTTATCAATAGTATTATAATAATAGTCCCAGGATCTCTATAATCGAAAAATTATTGAGAAAAAAAAATCGATAGGATATAACTCTGAGTTTTAAACACTGACAAAATCTACCATCGTTTTGAATTCCATGCAATATCCAAATACGACCGCCATTAACAATGATAATTTCCTTGCGAGTTCCTCGACAGTTTTTTTATGGTAAGCAGGTACATCTCACTAGGAATAATGATCACAGTTAGAATACTAATTATGTAGACATTTTTTATCAATAGTATTATAATAATAGTCCCAGGATCTCTATAATCGAAAAATTATTGAGAAAAAAAAAATCGATAGGTTATAACTCTGAGTTTTAAACACTGACAAAATCTACCATCGTTTTGAATTCTATGCAATATCCAAATATCAGCACATACATATCAGTAATATTCAATTCATCGAACTTGCGCAAGCGCATTTTGTCAACAATGACAGCACGTGGTTTCATTCATAGTTGGCTTTACATTTGCATCGGATGACAAGATACAGACGTCGTGTTCTTTTCATTGATGAATAGTGCATATGAAACATAAATTCATTACCTAGTATTTCAATTCATCTATCCAAACATCGCTTAAACACTAGATAGTTCTTAAATTTAGTGAATAGGTATGAAGGAAAGATTTATGTCAATTAATTTAGGGTGGGAGAGAAATGTCAATTGGAGATAGTTACTATGCAAGTGCAGTATAATGACGTGGAAGTTGACTATGAAAAAAATAATGAATCAACAAATAGTAAAAAGACAAAAGTTAATTTTACCTACTCACTATCATTCATATTGCTCAGATATACGTGTTTGAAATGGTAGTTTTTTGTCTTTTCAGAGTTTTGCCTATCCTGAATTCTGCCATCATTTATTTTGTTCACACCAAATAGTTCAGATTTCAGTTGAAATTTACACTTCATCGAGGCTCTCTGACATCGAAAGACATCCATTAGTAACTACCAGATGAAATTCATCACATGAATATAAAAACACGCCTTGTATAGAAGGCTATATACCGAATTCAACAGACAGTACTGAGTCTGCTGATTTTTCATTCCGAAATGAAAAAATTCACTGAAAGTGACTGATACTTGTGAGCAGACATACTATTCATTCCAAATATTTCGACTCAACATTCTGCTGTAATGGCTGACTATCAAAAGTTAGTGTGGCTTCAGTAAACTGTCATTATTTCAGAGGGGAAAGAAATGTGACATTTCTTTAGTAACTACCAGATGAAATTCATCACATGAATATAAAAACACGCCTTGTATAGAAGGCTATATACCGAATTCAACAGACAGTGCTGAGTCTGCTGATTTTTCATTCCGAAATGAAAAAATTCACTGAAAGTGACAGATACTTGTGAGCAGACATACTATTCATTCCAAATATTTCGACTCAACATTCTGCTGAAATGGCTGACTATCAAAAGGTAGTGTGGCTTCAGTAAACTGTCATTATTTCAGAGGGGGAAGAAATGTCACATTCATTTCCGTTGTTTTATCAATAATAAACTAATATCATGTTCAACATCAGAAAATGCATGTTATAAAAATTATTAAGGCTGAGAATAATATATAGATCAGATGAACGAGAAACTATACATAAGTGACAACCTGACAACTGACAAAGTTCACCAGCTGATCATCTGCTGCTAATCACTGATGAAAACCATGAAAATATGTTCAGAATTACAGCACTGTATTTTTACTGACACTACTGACCACTTGAATTCAGAATATCGCCGTAGTGCGATGGCTTCAGTGAACTGTCATTATTTTAGAGGGGGAAGGAATGTCACATTTATTTCCGTTGTTATTTGAACATCAAGTTGTAGGATACGACTCTATATGATCCATATCAGTTTATCTTTTATTTTGAATGAGTAATGTTGCTATAGTAAGATGTAAACATTATTAATAAAAAATAATAAATCTTTGAGTTGCGGAATATAATTTATATTGAAGATTCATCGAAGTATTTGATGATATCTATTATAAATGGTGCAGTTTTGTAGGATACGACTCTGTATGATCCATATCAGTTTATCTTTTATTTTGAATGAGTGATGTTGCTATAGTAAGATGTAAACATTATTAATAAAAAATAATAAATCTTCGAGTTGAGGAATATAATTTATATTGAAGATTCATCGAAGTCTTTGATGATATCTATTATATAAGTCATGTCTTATCAATAATAAATTAATAATATCTACAATATCAGAAAATGCCTGTTATTTAAATAATTTTCCAGATGAACGAAAAACTACAGAAGTGACAACCTGACAACTAACAAATTTCACCAGCTGCTCAACTGCTGCTGATTACTCATGAAAACGAGTTCCGAATTACAGCACTGTATTTTTGATTTTATATTTCTGAACACACATTTCAGCAGATTCAGTGAACAGTACTGACCAGTTGAATTCGGCGATTGTGAAAACATCGTATTTTAAATCATGAAAATCATCCATATCTCAAAGTGGTCACTTTATATAATAAAATACATCAAATATCATATGTAACCGGTTTCGGCACAACGGCCATCATCAGACATAAAAAGTACCTGGGTATTGTCATTTTTACTATTTTATAGGTACTTTTTATGTCTGATGATGGTCGTTGTGCCGAAACCGGTTACATGTAATATTTGATGTATTTTATTAAAGTGTGGTCGACCGACTTTGAGCCACCCGTTTTTCTTTTGACCAAGCAAAATGATTGAAAATGGCACTCTCCACTAAATTTCGCAATTTGATAACGAGATGAAAATTATGCCATCCGATACCAATGGAATGGTAGATTTTTTTCTGAGTCAAATCATCGGCACAGAGATGATTGCTGCTGTTATTTCGGACTTACTTGCGCCACGTGATAACGAGTTGAAATGAAATGCAAAAAAAGGGCAAAATGTCTCCTTCGCGAATATCCAAACGTGTCGTTATTCATAATGAAGTTCGAGGCAGAGCATCAATATTTCCGAGAATATTTAGCTCTTGTTGGAAGATAATATCAGATAGATCATCAGTTCGATGATCTGGGATTTTTTTTATTTTCACGGACATTTCTAAAAATAAAATCGACTGACTTTTACAAAATGTGTAACAAAAGGTTCAGTTACATCTGAAAACCAACAATTTCAACATATTTCATGAATATTTTTATATTTTTGTTATATGTGTTTTTAATGTGATCCAGACAGGTTTCTTACCTTGAGAATTCGTAAGATATAGGATTCGATTTCTGATTCGCTAGTATTTGGAATTTTTCCCAAGTACAAGACGATAGAACCACCTTTAATCTTCACAGATGAATGTACAATAGTTTTGATTGTTCTTAAAGGTGTATCAACTTCTTTAGACTTCCACCAGGAAGAGGGGAATTTTTTCAGGAAATAATGCACTTCTAATAATACCGTATCATAGTCTATGGCTTTACCCCACTGAGGCATACATTTGATCACCCGCCAAAGGCATTTCATCACCAAATCGATCTGTCTTTTTGAACTATCATTACTGATACAGTCGTTCATGAGTTTCACCAGAGCACTGAAAAAATAAAACATTATTTCAATGATGAATTCGATATTTATACAGAGAGATTCAAAATTCGATGTATATATTTTAAAGAGGTATCGTTGGGATCAAAATGAGACTTTTTTCTGCAACCGACACAAAAGTCGTCCATTTTGAAACCAAAATTAGCTCTTTAATTGACGTTTCTATTACTGACACAAAAATATGCATGTTGCTAGGCAACATATTTAGTTCCTAGGAGCTAAAGTTGAACTCTAGTTCCTAGGAGCTAAAGTTGAACTTTAGCTCCTAGGAAATAAAAAGGGTGTACTGGACGTCATCAAGAATAAACAACATTGTTACGGTTTGTTATTTGGGTTGAGACGCATACCTATTTCGTTTCCGATTTCGGCAGATTTGGCATTTCATACCCATGCTGGAGGTATAAATACACCTTATTATAGTTAAGTATTGGAATTATAAACATCTCAGTTGAGTATTTTTGTTTTGATCAGGGAAGCCTTCAAGATTCAAATACTTGCTTGATTTCATTCATTATTCTCGGGATGGATAACTTGTTTTTGAATAATCACTGCAAGCAATAGTTTTTTGTCTCAAACAACGATATTGTTAACCTTCATTTGATTATCAAGTCAAATACAGTGTAGTATGGAGAGGAATGAATAATCGCTATTATTATTGTTGATATGCCCACTAATCTAACATTTTCCACGTCTTGTTCCTATAGCTGGCACTGTCTGCCATTCAGAGCACCTGTTCTATACACAAATATGTCACTCTGTGGTTGTATTTATATTGAAACTACAATTCGAACATCCTTGAAAATTGAATAAACCTGCTCTTAATGCATGTAGAATATTTTCACCACACGGATTATTTGTCAATATTTATTGCATTGCATACATATGGCATGGCATTGGTGGTTACTTCAAATGTTCATTTGAGTTAATCGTTTCGGTTGCAAAAAAATAGCATGTTTCATTCGGATCAAAAGTGACTTTATTTGACTCGCAAATGCAAAATTCGCTTGTCAAACAAAGTGTCACTTTTGATCCTAATAAAACAATCTACTATTTTCTCCAAGCGGCAGGGATAGTGGCTTATTCCTGCCGCTTAACAGAAAAGGTGTACTTTTACTGCCTAGACAGAACAAGTTTGTTGCTATGCAACGTTCCAAGAAATTCTAATGAAATTAGTAATCAAAATTGACACTGATATTGGGTTAACACAAAATGATGGAGTTTTTAATAAAAAAATTACAAAAAATTGGTGTTATATCATTTGTTTCACACGGCAGCAAATGTAGATTGACTGCCTTGGCTGAATTCCTAGCCTCGCTACTCTCGGCTATGAACTAACAGCCGCGGCAGTCAATCTACTACTTTTTGCCTAGTAAAACAAATAACTATTTCTCCATATAAACATTTGTCCTAAAATGCACCCCCTCTGAGCTACAGCCATTGCGTAGGTTGGCTTCAAGGGGGAGGACACGATCCGAAATTATGTACACCTAGTGCCAGTTTCGGCATTGAGTGCTAGTTTATTGCCGTAATGCCGATATATTTCTGATATTGCCGACCATTGCCGACTAATGCCTTAATGCTGAAAATTATTATTGATTCCTTACGAATAGAATACCTAATAGTTTTTTTATGACCGTTAACAATTTTAGACATATGTGTTATACCATAATACTTATTTATCTCTTGTGTTTTTTGAAATCGGCAAAGAGAAGCTAAAATAGCCCAAACACAAACTACTGATAGCAGAGTATCCAAAATGTTCCATAGCCTTTTTTTGTTCAGAAAAACAAATATATGAATTCCCTTCAAATTCTAGGAGCTAAAAGAGAAGTACTGGATGTTATCAAGAATGAACAACATTGTTACGGTTGGTTATTTGGGTTGAGACGCATACCTGATTTGTTTCCGATTTCGGCAGATTTGGCATTTCATACCCATGCTGGAGATATAAATACACCTTATTATAGTTGAGTATTGGAATTATAAACATCTCAGTCAAGTATTCTCGTTATGATCAGGGAATCCTTCAAGATTCAAATACTTGCTGGATCTGTATTTCATTCGTTATTCTCGGGATGGATAACTTGTTTTTGAATAATCACGGCAAGCAATAGTTTTTTGTCTCAAACAACGATATTGTTTACCTTCATTTGATCATCAAACGAAAAACATTGTATTATGGAGGGGAGTAAATAATCGCTATTATTATTGTTGATATGCTCACTAACCTAACATTTTCCATGTCTTATTGTTCCTATAGCTGGCACTGGCGCGGTATTTGCCATTAGAGAGCACCTGGTCCATACACAAATATGTCACTCTGTGATTGTATTTATATTGAAACTACAATTCGAACATCCTTGAAAATTGAATAACTGCTGTTGATGCAGGTACAATGTTCTCACTACACGGATTATTTGTCATTATTTGTTGCATTGCATACATATGGCACGGCATTGGTGGTAACTTCACATATTAATTTGAGTTAATTGTTTCGGTTGCAGAAAAAATAGCATGTTTCATTCGGATCAAAAGTGACTTTGTTTAACTCGCAAATTTTGCTTTCGCTCGGCTTCGCTAAACGCTCCGCCTCGCTATTGCGAAATTCGCTTGTCAAACAAAGTGTCACTTTTGATCCTAATAAAACAATCTACTATTGTCACTTTTCATAAATTACTTTTTATCCACGGGAAAAAAGTTAGTACTTTTCTCCCGGATATATATCACATATATATACACCGTTGATGGCTTTTATTGTGCTATAGTTTCGAAAAATGAGCCAATAACACCGTCTCCGAGAAATAACTGCAAGTCTTTTTATCTTCCATTGGACTTCGCGGTTACTTGAATTACCCAACAACCACTAAATTCGCATTTTTTTAAAATCAAATCACATGATTAGACTGACAGATATTTGATTACTTTGAAAGAATGATAAAGATGTCTGCAAAAAGATGCCTGCAACGCAGGTGTCATTACTGTTAAAAACTTCAAATTTCACGTCGATAATTTTCTGATTTTAATATTTGATCTTAATATAATGTAATATCTCAAAATTGATGCGTCCCTCTTTCTGTCACAGAAAAAATTGTGTATTATACACGGGAAAAATATTAGATTTCAGCTCACAACCTGAAGATAATAAATATTATTCTATTATTGACGTGTCCGAGCGTTTTTTCGAACTCACCACTATTTATTCTTTATCGAATTTATTCCATTCAGCTCAATATTTCCGAAACAGTTGAAGATGAGTTCAGGACATTGTACATGTCTAGAATTTCATGAAGAATTCAAAAACTGAATAAAATACAGGGTGTTGCATTTGAAATTAGAAATTTGGTGTTGGCTGTTACATGACACCACATAACTCAAAGACCTAGAAGGCTACTGCAAGTGTGCTTACGGCAATAGTAATCATGCGCACATTGTCGGCAACCTTGTCATTTATACATCTTTGTACGCAAATCTCATATTTATGCATTGGGATGTAGTTCATATTTCTTATGGAACTTTTCCTAACTGATGATTAACAGTTACAAGAATCATAAAGAAAATCTTCACGACAAAATTCATACTCACTGATATTAATTGAAGGGCTAACAAGAGATCCGTGAATTATTATGATGAGCTAATTTCCTACAAGTTCATTTCATTATTCAGTGTTTTTCTTTGTGTTTAGCGTCTTTCGTTAGTGAATTCCGAGATTATTGAAGAATTTTGGTATTTTACTCCAGTTTGGGTGGTTTATTGTAGTCATAGTGACATTTCTATCGCGTTTCCTGTTCAGTTTTTAAGTACAGTACTCATTCGATTCGTTGAATGATTTGTGTATAATGTTCTCAAAATGAATGATTTGGTGTCAAGAACAAATTTCAGAAATGTCTTACTTCAGGTAAATTTCTATCGTCAACAAGCTTTGTGCCATTATATATTTCCTTCGGCTATTCGCGGTAGCCAAGGTCATCATTTGACGTTGCGATGACGTGAAAACTACGGGAAAACATTCCTAACTCCTGGCTGAGATTGGAAGTTACACATGTTTTCCCGTAGTTTTATGTCATCGCAACGTCAGATGATGACCTTGGATACCGTGAATAACACAAAATTGCTCTTGTTATACGACGCTATACATAGTGGAGTATACTACGGCCTTGCCAAAAATGCTATCTCGGAAACTAAGCGAGATAGAGGTATAGTTACTTTGGAGAAAATGTTATAATGATATGATAATTCCAAATATCTCGAAAACAACTGAAAATATCTGAAAATGTTATGGAACCAAAATTATTCCTTTTGATAGAATCTACAAAAAATCCGTATAACATTTTTCTCTGAATTCAATAGTTCGGGAGATACGATGAAAAAAACTAAAAAATTTACAAGTTCCTAGATAATCACTTGCCTTGTCTTTATTTTTCGCCAATAAACTAGGTACCTAGCTCACTCGACTGTCATAATTTTTTGCCCATAAACTACGTACCTAGCTCACTCGACTGTCTTGATTTCCCACAAAGAAGAAATATGTTGGAAAAGTTTTAACTTTCTTTTGTTTTTGTTTTTTCAGTCCCTATTGGCAGTCGAGTGGGCTAGGTACGGAGTTTGTGTGGAAAAACCAAGACAGTCGATTGGGCTAAGTACGTAGTTTGTGGGAAAAATCTCCAGTTCTCTGAACTTTCATAGCGTCGTATATACATCTTTGGTGCCCAATGATAGTTTCAATATAAAAATATGCTCATGATATGGTGCCATGGCCTCTACTTCCATCTTACATGAGCAATGATAAAATATCATATGCTTTTATAGCGTCGTATAAATTATCTGACCCCTATACTAATCTAATACCTAATGAAAACTACATCTATACTTATCTGATACGTTTCGAAAACTACGTACCTCACTTGTTTTACTGTATTCGATAAATCAATGAGGTACTTCGTATGTCATCAATTTTATTTCCGTATCTAAAATCACAATGACTTCATTGTGTTATTATTTAACAAAATCTCATCTCCTATGAAATGTCAAATTTCAAGCAATTACAGCTCTGTCTAATAGATGGGCATACGGCTTATGCTGCAAACTTTATTCTCGTGGGAAATGATTATCATTCTGTGCTCGTTAAACAATATACTATTTTGTTGTCATGATTATATTACCAAAACTAAAATATCTGCCAAGAAGTTACAGATCTCTGGAATTAATGATATTAAATCAAATTTAAGGCTAACCAAGAGTTGCCGCGTTGATTGGATGATTACTCTGTGGAGAGATGCCACTGTTGAGGAGTTGAGTCCTTTTGTTTTCAACTGAACTATATGATTTTCGCGAGGTCTCAGTTTTTTTTTTCTAATTCAATTACCTCGTGAACGAAGTCCCAAATCGAAATTCCACACGGGTGCCTTTCTTTCCGAATTGAACAGGGAATTTGGGAAAAAAATCTCAATTCTGAAAATGTTCAGTGGTTTAATGAACAAAACGGGAAAAGTGAAACAACTCCCCTGTATTTACTCCACTGGACAAATTTGACATAACTTAGTTGCGTCAAACAACGAGGAACCATTTCATAAGTAGATATTTGCACCAAATTTTGTTTTAGGTCTTAACAATAATAGCAGAAAACAATTTTTAAAACTGGACTTTGGAGGGATGTATCTCCCTTATTTTTTGATGAACCATGGTGAATTATTGCTAATATATCCTGAACCACCTTGTATATTAGCTCGCCCATTTCTATCTAATGAAGATTTTATATAGGAAATACATCGAAATATTACTCCTAATAACATGAAGGAATCCATCATGATTGATATCATATGAATTTTTCACAATGTTTTGCTCCTTCAAGGATGCCACAAAAACCTGGTATTTAAATAATTTTGAAGCCGCCCTTGGCATGGTCGCGTCTTTCTTGCGCATGTTCACATTTACCGTTCGAGCCACGTTAGGGAACACTTGAATAGAACGATATTGAACTTCTAGATCTTTGAGTTCTGTGCATGACACGCCCTATATAAAACATTTTTGTTGGAAAGGATGCGCTTTAGAAAAATTAATCGGCATGTCCGAGCGTTTTTTAGAAAACGCCCCCGTTTATACATTACCGAATTTATTCCATTTGGCTGATACACACTGTATAAATATGTTCTAAGAATATTCCAAGAAAGAGATCAAAGACATGCAGTGCTGACGTTGATACATACTGTAGCACGCCCACCCTAAATCATTGTTCAAAGTATAAATATTACATTAATGTATCATTTTCCGTTACATTTGAATTGTGCCGCGCCCGCGTGTGATACCCTGATTGGTGCGCCGGATTTGACTTTATTCGCAAGAGAGTACGAAGGGAGGGAAGCGAGGATTCGCTGGAGAAAAGTTCGAGAGAGAGAGGGGACGGCCGCCTGAAGGAGAGGTCGGGAATTTGGGCACTGTGAGTTTGCCAGGGTTTTGACGGGGGTTTTTGGTGAACGAGTTGCTTGTAATGCTGGGTTAAAAGTGCCTGCTGGGACGAGCAAGTCGTCATCACTAGTTACCAACTGTGGACAGTCGGTGAGAAGCACGATACATTCATTGTATCAGGGGTGAGAAGTATAATTTAAGAATTGAAGCGAGCCGTTTTCCTTTGCCGATTGCCAAGAGCCATCGCGCGATTGCGTGACTTCAGTAGCTGATGTTGTTGCTGTACCGATTGTTTTCATTTTTAAAACAATCAACCCTCGTTATCTTTCGTACTCTGCGTTCCTAGACTATTATAATCGTGTGACCTGGTACTCATTGTTGATATTCGTGACATTAACCATTTTTCGTTAACTATTATACGGTTTGCAAATTTAATCTTGTTTTCTTCCGCAAGCCTGTCCCCCCTTGAGAACTTTGAGAGTCTCTTATTAAAATAATGTTCACGACTGAGCTGGTCGACTACAATACTACAAAGGAGTCTCCGCCAATTTCAACGCTCTCTTATTGGTCAAAAGTTATTCGCGCATCCTCACGTACTTTCCTTCCATTTTTTGTTTATAGGTCAGTGAGTGTTCTGTATGACATTGACTGATGACATCTCCAGGCAATCGGTGATAATGTTTTTGATAAATGCTCATTGAAGAATCTATTTACAAATATGGAATTTAGTGTAGCAGCAACTATAACAGTAGCTAAAATTGATTATAGACTTTCTGAAAGACAGAATATGAGGACATTGTGTTTCAATAATACATCAGTTTTCGCGAAGTCATAGATGTTTCGATGTATTATCTTTTATAAAAAAATGGATGAAGTGATTTGAAATTGGATTGACAAAATTAAGCTTACAGTTTGACATCATCAGAACCATGTGCAGTTAATAAATGCGTGCAGTTCCGTGAAAATGATGGTTGCAAACTCTTCATTTTTTGATTGCAAACAAACCTTCTATAACAGAAAAGTTTACCGTTTCCAATTTACACAAGATACCTACTTGATAGCTGTTCGGCATTGCTCTACTGATCATCATTCAACAAACAAAGTTCAACCTTCCATTCAATGAACATATTGATGAAATAGGAAACCTAAATGCTTGTATTTAAAAAAAATGGCACTCACCAGATGGCATTTGTGTGATCAGACTTCTCAATTACATGCATGCAGTTGACATTGATTACTTTGACATAGGCCTCGCCATTATCTAAATAATTGAGTTTCTCTTCGACCAGGAGACTTATCATGAGATGAATGAGGTCTTTAATAACTGGGATAGACACTCTGTTTCCCAATAGTTTATTAGAATAAAACTGCAAACAAAATTGATTCAAGAATCGTGAAACTAATGAGAAATACGACACAAACAATCACTCACCGAATTAATGACTGTCAGCAAATTTCTATACATCTTGGCAACATTGCTGTCTAAATTGGGATCTTGGTTCTGCAGAAACTTCAACTGAGTTATCACAGCATTCATGAACTCATCTTCATAGTCAATCATCAGGTTTCCCTTCAATTGGTGTAAAAATTCATCCAATGTGTTCATACCCTTAAGCAAAAAACAACGATGACGAAAGAACTTCTAAGTAGGAAATTATGAGTTATTCAATGCAAAATAATAATAATAATAAACATTAGTTCAGCCATTTTTTCCTAGAACTTAACCACATAAACCGGGTCAACAATGAGTTAAGCAGTCAATTTTCCTTGAAGCGTATTTCAAACTATGACGTAATAGTTAACCAAACACTCAAACTAGTGGTCCGAGATAGTTTAGATATTTGAATAAAAGATCGTTATATTGAAAAAGAAGGAATACTTGTCTTGTAGAAGAGGTAATATTTTTCAATTCGTACAGTAGTATCATTTTGTTGAAGATGTTAAATGAATCAATTCCCGATGAAAGTAGTAGTCATGAAGAATGTTTCAATTGTATTTTGATTATTTCCACAAGGAGATATGACTTCAACTAAAACTCAAAGTTATGATAGCAGTCAAGATTCACAAGTGAACCAGAAGTATACAATTTATTTATTTATTTTTATTTTATTTATTGAACAAATAACTTCCAGACAGAATAGGCTCTGGTATAAGGAAGTACATAATTATATACCTATAGGTAAACATAGCATCATTCAAAATATATCAACAACTGTAAATTGGCAAACAAAGAATAATATTTGTAAAAAAAAAGAAAAAAAAAGAAAAAAAAAGAAAGAAAAATGGCATGATTAATTTTATCCAGTCCGCTCAGAAATAATCAGTTTTTTTACTTCATTTTTGAATATACCTATATTTCTGCAATTTTTTATATTATCAGGTATTTTATTGAATTCAGTTAAGGCTGAATGAGTGAATCTTTTTTGTCCGATTAGGGAGCTAGCGGCGTCAAGATGGAACAAGTTATATTGTCTAGTTTCATGATTATGAATTTCAGAATTCCGTATCAAAATAATATTCGACTTCAATTTTTTATTTATGATATTATATGATATTTTGAGAGTTTCAATTCTATGTATTTCATCTAAAGAATACGTATTTGTTATTTCATACAATGACGTCATTATATAGATAACCTTTGATAATGAAACGTTCTGGTTCGACCGCCCAGTAAAAATCACCAGATTTATCATTTTCTCACCATCAAAGCTGCAATGAAGTTCTGTGATGCCATCTGATTTATCATTTGCTCGATTCCGGGATCTTGTTTCTTTGGACTAGGAGTTTTATTGATACTCAAAAGGCTCAATCTATTACTGACAGTTTCGCTGGCAGCTGCAGCTTTCTTTTTAGCAAGTACCCTGCAATTAAAAATTAGAAATTGATATATTTCATTTCTTAACTGAACGTATTATCAATTAGAGATGAAGCATTCCAGATAAAAAAATCAACATACAAATCAATACTATGAACCTAGTATTCCATAAAATAATAATCTAACATCAGATACCAAGAGTTTTAATTCACTTATCAAAGTTGATACTTAGTGATTTTTGAAACTTTGATAATACAGTGTGTTGTGCCCATCACACAACATTTTTTCAAATCTGGTCATATTTTTTTTTGACTAATATACCAGTTGGTTCGTTAATTTTTCCTTTAAAAAAATGGACAGAATAAAATGGTATATTCATAGCAAAATCGTTATCCCGGATTTCCATCCATTGTTCTCATAAAGTGGGCACCAGAATTGACACCGATTCTCTGCAAGTTATGCAAGTCGGGTATTTTTACATCTTGCTGGAAAACAGCTAGAGTCCAACCAATCCCCAAGAAAGAAAACAAAAGCCTGCCCAACAACTATAGGCCAATTGCCCTATTATCATTCATCTCCAAAGTAATGGAGAAAGCAATCAATAATGAGCTCATCAAATATCTGGAAAGCTCGGGAATCATTAATGATAGACAATATGGCTTTTGCCACCGAAGATCAACTGGAGTTTACTTGCTAACGTCACCCATATATGGCAAGCTTCATTAGACAAAACATGGGGAATCTCTAGCTGTGGCGTTGGATATAACAAAAGCATTCGACCGTGTTTGGCACCAAGGACTACTCCACAAACTACCATGGCTTACCACCTCAGCTATGCCATCATTTATTGAGTTTTCTTCCAGGCAGATTGCTCCATGTGGTGGACGGAGTGTCGTCTGATACCATTTCCATCAATTCCGGCGATCCACAAGGATCAATTTTGGCACCAACATTGTTCCTACTTTATATCAATGATCTGTTGGGAGCAACCACCAGCCCTATTCATAACTTTGCAGATGATAATACTCTCCATACCGCGTTCTCTTCTAGAATTCCTATTTCTTCCCAGGAAACTAAGAACTTACAACGAAGGCAGGTCAACACTGTCAATAAAGATCTTGCTGAAATTACAACCTGGGGAACCAACAACCTAGTTGAATTCAATACGCGATTAAAACTCATCAAGTGCAATTTCATCTTTTATCGAGTTTTCTTCCAGGCAGAAGACTACTACTTCCACATTAGAAGAGCTATCAAATGAAACACAAGAAAAATATGAACAATACTTCAATGCCAATGTATTATGTCTGAACAAAGACAAGACTAAAATTATAGATTTCAACAAAAGAACGAATAATGATAACGAGAATAATGTGCGTTTACTGGGTTTTCATATAGACAGCAATCTCAGCTGGAAAACACAAATTACAGAAATAAATAAGAAACTGTCCAAAGGTCGTTTTGCTCTGAGGAGATTGAGAAGCGTGGTAAGTAAAGATGTTCTTAAAATAGCATATTTCGGTTTGATACAAAGTTATTTACAATATGGGATATTATTATGGGGTTCGGCATCATCAGCACAGAAGAAAATAATCAGAGAGATGGTTAGAGCTAACTTTAGAGATCATGCGAAACCTATTTTCATTGATTTAGAGATTCTCACGGTACCATGTTTATATATACTGGAAGCTATCTTATACGTACACAAAAATAAAGAGAAATATACTACGGGGGCACTGATACATGATTATAATACTAAAAGCAAAGAGGTCATTAGAACAGCGAAAATGAAATTAGTAAAAACAGAAAATATTGAAATTTGTGGTGAAGCAGTCTCTTTTAAGCCAAGCATTTTACTCAATAAATGAGGTTTTCGATGTAGGATGGTCAATTGTATAAATAAAACAAGGCACAAATGAAATTGTTTTGAATTGTTTTTTTTGCGGTGTACATGAATTTGTAACATAAAGACCAATAAATATCTTATCTTATCTTATCTTATTTTGATACCACCAAGACCACTATATCGATGCTCAAGATTTCCATAAGCAATACTCTTTCATTGGAAAATCGTGTCCGATCCATCGCGGAAGCTGCTTCACAGGAGCTCGGATTTTTATTCCGTGCGAGAATCTACTCTACACCTCAACAGCTTCTCATGATCTTCAAAGCACAGATACCACTCAGACAAACTCGACCGGCCCAGTCAGCACATCCTTTTGTGGTCAACCTTGGAATATGTTGAAAAACACTTTACGAAAACTCGTTCGTCTGTAGAACGGCAAAGCTTTGGAATTCTTTGCCAATGGAAGTATTCTCAGGAACTTATAACCCCCAGAAGTTCAAAAAAATCTAACACCTACCCCCTCTCCCTATATCTTCTCTAGGTACGCACGAGGTTCTTCGAACATTATAGGAATTTCCTTTCATGCGCTACAGCAGATGAAAAAACCTTCAACATCAACTGTGGTATTTCCTTTCCCAATATATAAACTTACATTGCCCTAGCATCTTCTATCGTTGGAATTTTTATTTCTTCACTGAGGAAAGCTAAATCCAACTTAATCAACTGGGGTTTCACTGGCTTTGGTGGTTTTGTACGTTCCAATTCCTTCATGAATTCTGGGTCCAGTCTGAATGGACCGTCGATTTCTCTTGGAGGTTCGTGGACTATTTGAGGAGGCAGGACAGGTAATCTGAGAAAGAAATATTCCACAAATCACATTGTTTTCTCAATTCATAGAACATCATTTCAACAAAGTGGAAGTGATGAAAACAAGTACCTATGTATATTCAGGATGATTCCGAAATTGAAGCGATAAATGAAATGGATAAAAAAGCGGAGAAAAAGTAAAAGTGAATATTTTGTCTGAAAAAATCACAACGAAAAATATTAAATTTGAAAATTTGTCTGGACTTTTGTGAATAATTGAACAGAGAATAACAACCGAACCCAAGTGTTTGCTTTTGGATATAGTACATTGTTTTGAAATGGTTCATTTGTGTATTATTTCGATGTTTTGGTAGTGATTGTAGAAAAGAAGACTTCACTTCACAAAAGTCCGCCATATTGGATTGTAATGTGATCAAATCCGAAATAGTTGCTTATATAACTGTACCGAATTTTAGAAAAATCCGTTGACGAATGCAGAAGTTACAGGGGTGGCCCGATAACCTGTGTCACCCGGTATATTGTAGTCGATTCATCTACATGTGATTATGATAAAGAAAAAGACCTCAAAGCTGGATGTATGTGTGAATAATTGATTTACCTCTGGTAAGAAAAATATAACATATGTGCTTTGCTTCTGAGTAGGATTTAATTTTTTCAAATTCCTTGTGTAATTTTTCACTTGTAGGAAAAAAAATGCAACTGAATTCAATCTTGAAGTCGAGAGAAAAATCTTTCAATTATACACTGATTGAAATAATCATTTTCTGTGGAATGCAGTGAGAAAACTTTCATGAATAACATGTGAAACCCAGCAATAGTGATTCAAGATACTCTACTGAACAATTCAAACTCGAAAAATATCACAACGACCACTAAACCTTCGATGAAATGCATGGAAGCTTGAATGTAAACAAATATTTAATGTACATTCCATTAGTTACTTGAATATCCGCAAGAGTGAGTATCGCTTATTTTGAATCGAAATCTATGTATTGAACAAACTGTTCATTTCCTGTCCTAAAAGTAGGTAATGTACAGATCTGACAATGTCAATAGGCAAGTGGCCCAATTTTTTTTATTTCTCAAAGAGAATCATCACTCAAATACCTTTCAATTCCATATTTATTAAGAATTTATTGGTTGATTTCAAGGTGCTGAAATAATCAATAATGCCAAGGTAATTTTCAAACGGCTAGAAATTTACCGCAAATAGAAACTGACGTCAGGATTTCGTAAATAGGGGCAGACCATACCACAGTCGTCATATGTTGAAATACGATTGGGATTATTAGTTATTCAATAATTCATACATTGCCTTTTGAAATTTTCCATCTTATGTGTTGTGGCTTATTGCATACATGGTGGCCCTTTGAAAATGAAACAGAGGCTCTGAAGGTCGTCAAAACCGGATTATGAAAAAAATCTGAAACACGTTAACTACATTTTCGAGGGGGACATCGTTATAAAATATTTTCAGCTCCGTGGCGTTGCGCTTTTAACGAAAAGAAACAACTTTATTATTTCAACCAGAGATTATACAGACCATAGATAAACACTGTATATGGCATGAGAGGCAACGTCTTTCGAGTTGTGAATGTGTTTCAACAGATGTCGCTGTCTATCGTGGATAGAATATTGAAGCTGTAGTAAAATCGATATTTACTACGTCCATTCACTGGTATTTACATCGTTGCCAAGACTCCTACTATATTGGTAGTGCTAATTTATTATATCTGAGATGACCGAGACCAGCCGAGACGATGATTATTTTCAAGGAGAGTTTGGATTCACGCCGTGACTACTTGAAAATATTGACATTTATTTATGAAATACGAATAATAATTAATTTATATTTCAAAATTACGAATTATCTAGGTACATTAATTATCTATATAAAAGTAAGTCCAATATATTTGATTATTTTCGGATTTCTCTTAGTCCGGAATGGGATATTAAAAAGTATTAAAATTCGTGAAAATTAGAAAATTCAAGATGGCGGATCCGATATGACGGACGATCATGTAATCATGATCCGATTCTATTCAATATTTTTTGTATCTGGGGGTTAGCGGGGTCGGAGATTATGATTCTTTCGACAAAATTAGAGAGTTAAAGATGGCGGAACCAATATGGCGGACAAGTTTTTTTAATATTATGATCCGATTCTATTCAAAATTGGTATCTGGAGGTTTTTGGGGCCGAATATTATGATCCTTTGGTCAAAATAAGGAAATACAAGATGGCGGAACCAATATATGGCGGACGAGTCTCGTAATTATGATTTGATTATCTTCAAAATTTGTATCTGGGGGCTTTCGGGGTCGAAGATTATGATTCTTTTGTCAAAATTAGGAAATTCAAGATGGCGGACGAGTTTTGTAGTTATGATCCGATTCTATTCAATATTTGTATCTTGGGGTTTGCGGGGTCGGAGATTATGATTCTTTCGACAAAATTAGAGAGTTGAAGATGGCGGAACCAATATGGCGGACAAGTTTTTTCAATATTATGATCCGATTCTATTCAAAATTGGTATCTGGAGGTTTTTGGGGTCGAAGATTATGATCCTTTGGTCAAAATAAGGAAATACAAGATGGCGGAACCAATATAGGGCGGACGAGTTTCGTAATTATGATTTGATTATCTTCAAAATTTGTATCTGGGGGCTTTCGGGGTCGAAGATTATGATTCTTTCGTCAAAATTAGGAAATCCAAGATGGCGGACGAGTTTTGTAGTTATGATCCGATTCTATTCAAAATTGATACCTGAAGGTTTTCGGGGTCGAAGATTATGATTCTTCAGTCAAAATCAGGAAAAACAAGATGGCGGAACCAATATATGGCGGACTAGTTTTGTAATTATGATCCGATTCTATTAAAAATGTATCTGAAGGTTTTCGCGGGGTCGGAGATTATGATTCTTTCATGAAAATTAGGAAATACAAGATGGCGGACGAGTTTTGTAATTATGATCCGATTCTATTCAGAATTTGTATTTGGGAGTTTTCGGGGTCGGAGATTATGATTCTTCCGTAAAAATTAGTAAATTCAAGATGGCAGAACCAATTTGCATGGAGACGAGTTTTGTAATTATGATCCGATTCTATTCCACAAACAAATTTATCTAGTCATTGATCATTTTCGGAAAAGAACAAATGTTTCTATGCACGAAATATTTAATTACTCCTGTGGTTATGAATGAAAGCTGAAAACACCAAATTAGGTACATACAATTACTTCAAACGATAAATATAGTGTCATACACATTCAAAACATGCCCAAGCTTATAGTTTAAGTGTAATAGGTAGGTGTGAGAAACAAATGTAAAAGAAAACTTTCGAATCACTTGGTATTTATTTCAGAAAAAGTCTCAAATATGGAAATAAAGAGATTTAAGTAACATATATCTAAAATGGCTGGCTAGGTCGGAGTCACGTGACTTTCACTAGATGTTAAAAGTAAGAATTTTTCAAATCAATCATTTAAAGTACGCTTACTCGTTTGAATTTCAAAAACATTCACTACGCGAAATTATTTCTTTCCCGATTTTACACATTCCTCTCAAATTTGAATGTTCTATTGCAACATTTAGTTTTTGGTATTTTTCAATTTTCTGGTATGAAACAGTTTTGTCGAAGTAACAACTTTCAAATTACAGAAATTGGGGTGTGTATAATTTGCGGACTGGCTATTTCCAGCAAATAAATCGTTGTTTTAATTGCATATCTGGATTCAGTTTATTGAACTACACGATAAAAAGTTTCTGATTTTTTCACTGACCTCCCTGGGGAGCACTTTAATCGTGTGTTTTTTCATAAAATCATGCGGACTGGGTATTTTTGTTGTGAGTCAAATCAATTCAATTTTACTGAAAATCGATTTTCCTCATGAAAATACACGATAAAATGATTTTGAAAATTTTCCCTAGCTTCCCTGGGGAGCACTTTACTCGTGTGTTTTTTTATAAAATCTTGCGGACTGGGTATTTTCGCAAGTCAAATCAATTTTACCAAAAATAGATTTATCTCATGAAAATACACGATGAAAAGTTTCCTGAAATTTTTTTCTAGCCCCCCTGGGGAGCACTTTACTCGTGTGTTTTTTCATAAAATCTTCCGGTATGTTTACATTTTCATATTTCAAATATGCGATACGGACAATACTGAAAAATGTGATATTATTTCTGTTGTTACCAAATTTATTTATTTTTGTTTTGATGTTATACATTTTTTATGTTCTGGTTCCCACGAAAAGGGATATCCTGTAATCGAGCCTGTAATGTTCAGAGAACATCGTGAGAACCAAGGGAAATAAGGTAGGAATTGGTGTTCTCTCTCTCTCTCTCATCTATGATAGGATGTTTTTTTTGTACCCTATTTTGCTTATTCAAATGACGCCTCATCAGCGTCCGCAAGATTTTATGAAAAAAAACACACGAGTAAAGTGCTCCCCGGGGGGCTAGGGAAAAAGTTTAGAAACTACTCATCGTGTATGCTCATGGAATAAATCGATTTTTGAGAATATTGAGATGATTTGGGCTGAAAGACTTCGGTCAATGGCCTTTTGGGGTATATCCCTAATAAAGATGTTCTCTCTCTCTCTCTCTCTCTCTCTCTCTCTCTCTCTCTCTTAGATGATTTGACTCACAAAAGTACCCAGATTTTATGAAAAAACGAACGAGTAAAGTGCTCCCCATGAAGGCTTGCGAAAAATTTTAAAAAAATTTTAAACCTGTATTTTTGTGAGATAAATCGATTTTTGAGAAAATTGAGATGACTTGACTGGTAAAAATACCCAGCCCACAAGATTTTATGAAAAAACACACGAGTAAAGTGCTCCCCAGGCCCAGGGGGGCTAGGGAGAAACTTTAAAAACTATTCATCGTGTAAGCTAATGGGATGAATCGATTTTTGAGAAAATTGAGATGATTTTATTGTTAAAAATACCCAGTCCGCAAGATTTTATGAAAAAATAAACGAGTAAAGTGCTCCCAGGGGGGCTGGGAAAAAATTTCGTATACTT